GAGCGAACGAAATCCGGGTTTGGGGAGGGGGGGGGTCGCGTTTGGGACTCACCCGGGTACCCGACGGAAGGGTGCAGCAGGTCCATGGCCGGGCCCGGCAGCCCCAGCCCGTTCATGCCGTACGGGGGCTGCTTGAGGTAAGACATCATGCTAACAGCCGGGCGGGTTTCCTCCGATGTCCCGCAGGAAAGTAAAAAAAAATTAAAAATAAAAAAAAATAATAAAAATAAAAATAGTCGCAAATAGAAATAATTAAAAAAAAAAAAAAAAAAAGAGGAAAAAGAGGGGAAAAAAAAAAAAATAGCTCCAAAAAACGAACGCAACAAAAAGAGCTCCCCGGACGAGGGGCAGAGCCGCGCCGCCGCCGCGCAGTGTTCGGTCCGTCCCGCGGCGCCGACGCGCGGTCCTCGGGCGGCGGTGGCGGAGCGGAGCGGGGGTCGGCCCGGTCCTGCGGGGAGAGAGCGGGGTCAGCGCGCCGCAACTTCGCGGTTTGGGAGCTTTTCTTTCTTTCTTTCTTTCTTTTTTCTTTCTTTTTTAAATAATTATTCTTTTTCGAAACGAAGGCGAGTTGCGGGCGAGCGCCGACAGGCACCGTCGCCCGGCGATGGGGAGAGATAAAGCAATTATTTAAAAAGATAATTGGATTAGGAATCAAAAGGAGGGACCGGAGGAGGGAAGTCTAATTAATTTAAAAGCGAGCGGACGGGGACGTTTTAATTAGAAATGGACGAGAGTTGCAAAGAAGGAGGGAAGAAGGGGAGCGCGGAGCGGCACCGGCACCGGGCGCGGGGTTCCGGGACGCGGGGGGGGGATGGGAGGGACGGGGGGCGGCGTGGCCGGGACCCCCCCGGCCGGGTCGGGCCGGGCCCCCCCTGCGCGGCCGCGGAGCGCGGGGCGGAGCGGAGCGGGGCCCCCCCGGGAGGGGGCGGTGGGGGCGCGCAGCCCGGCCGGGCGCCCCGCGTTACCTTGCCGCCGGCCCGCGCTGTCGGGGCGATGGAGCCGCGGCCCTGATGAGGTTTGATCGCCTCCGCGCCGCCCTACCCTTGTATGTGCGCGCAAAGCCCGTGCGTAACCAGCCCGGCGCCAATCCGCGGCCGCTCCCCGCCTGACTGACAGCCGCCCGGGCAATGGCAGAGCAGCCCCGGGCCCCCCCCGCCCTCCCCGCGCCGCTCCGCACCGCTCCGCGCTGCCCCGCGCACCGCTCCCGGCCCCTTCCCCTCTCCTTTTCCCCTGCCCCGCGCCGCTCCCGCACCGCGCTGCCCCGCGGGCGACGGGACGCGGCGGTTCCCTAGGAGAGGAAGCGGGGCGGGGGGGCGGGGGGGGAGTTGCAGCCCCGGAGGGCCCCAAACTTTGTGGATTTCTTAAGAAAAAGAAGAGAAACCCAAGGGGACAGGCGCGGCGCGGGGCCGGGAGCGCTGAGCGGCGGTGTGCGCGCCCCAACGCGCCGCCCGTCCGCGCTACAGCTGAACGCGAGCGCACCGCGCAGCGCAGCGCACCGCGGGGCTTTCCCC